ACTCTCCCTTGTAGTCTCGGAGCCTTGGGGTTACACAGGCCCACTGACGGGGGGGCGGGGGGGGGAAGAGAAGGGGCAATTGCCTCCGGGGCCCGGAGCTTCAAAGGGGTTGGGGCTTTAAATTGCCGGCGGAGCGCCATGCACCCCGCACGGCTCTGAGGGCTGGGGGGCGGGGCTATGCTCTGGGCAGCACCTAGCCCCGCCCCTTTGGCCTGAGGCTCCACCCCTTCCAGGAGGCTGTCGACTCACGAGGGGCTACACATGGTTCAGCATTTGCCCAGAGAGCTGGCGCTCTGGGAGCGGATTTACCATGGCACCCGGGGCTCTGCGGCGCCAGGCCCACGCTCAGCAGGGGCCCAGAACGCTCATTTCTTCCCCACTGCCTTGTGCCCTGGGAGTCTGCAGAGAAGGATGGGAGCCCCACGTCCTCGGGAGTTGTAGTTCCTTGGCCAGCTCCCTGCCTAGAGAGCTGGGCCTGGCGCAGAGAAGGGACTACATTCCCCAGCATTCCCTGGGCCATTAGCAAGAGGAAAGGGAGGGGGAAGTGAGGAGAGCCTTGCCCAGCACGTGCTGCGAATGGAGAGCTGGCTGCTGGAAGGGGTGGTGCTGCAAGTGGGGAACAGGTGTGCATAGGGGAGGAGGCGGCTTCGGCCCAGATCTCACCCACAGAAGCCTTCCCCAGCCTGGATTCATAGAATCATAGAATACTAGGACTGGAAGGACCTCGAGAGGTCATCGAGTCCAGTCCCCTGCCCTCATGGCAGGACCCAGGACTGTCTAGATCATCCCTAATAGACATTTCTCTAACCTACTCTTAAATATCTCCAGAGATGGAGATTCCACAACCTCCCTGGGCAATTTATTCCAGTGTTTAACCTCCCTGACAGTTAGGAACTTTTTCCTAATGTCCAACCAAAACCTCCCTTGCTGCAGTTTAAGCCCATTGCTTCTTGTCCTATCCTCAGAGGCCAAGATGAACAAGTTTTCTCCCTCCTCCTTATGACACCCTTTTAGATACCTGAAAACGGCTATCATGTCCCCCCTCAGTCTTCTCTTTTCTAAACTAAACAAACCCAGTTCTTTCAGCCTTCCCTCATAGGTCATGTTCTCTAGACCTTTAATCATTCTTGTTGCTCTTCTCTGGACCCTCTCCAATTTTTCCACATCTTTCTCGAAATGCGGTGCCCAGAACTGGACACAATACTCCAATTGAGGCCTGACCAGCGCAGAGTAGAGCGGCAGAATGACTTCTCGTGTCTTGCTCACAACACACCTGTTAATGCATCCCAGAATCATGTTTGCTTTCTTTGCAACAGCATCACACTGCTGACTCATATTTAACTTGTGGTCCACTATAACCCCTAGATCCCTTTCTGCCATACTCCTTCACAGACTATTAGGGATTAGGGAAGCTCGTGGCCTCAGTCAGCTGGCCGCCCCCAAAGAAGGAACTGGCTGGACTCTGCACCTCTGTCTGAAGCCGAGCAAGGTGATGTGTGGACCCCAGCCAACAGGAGAGGTGTCAAAGGGTGGCCGTGTTAGTCTGTAACTTAAAAAAAACACTTTAAGACCAATGAGTGGTCCTGTAACACCTTAAACACTAACCAAAAATATAGATAGTATCTCATGAGCTTTCGAGGGCACTAAGTGGTCACGAAAGCTCATGATACTATCTATATTTTTTTGTTAGTGTCTAAGGTGCTACAGGACAACAGGAGAGGTGAACATGATAACTAAGGGAGGGAAGGCTCTACTAGGGCAGTGTTAGGTACAATAGCAGGCCCACCAGAAGAATCTGACTCAATTTCCATAGCCGCAGAAGCAGCAATGGACTTTTCCTTTCTAGGGTTGCCAGTTGTCCAGTTTTGAACCGGACAGTCCAGTAGCTGAGCTTTCTGTTCGGGAAACAAATTGAGAAAATATAAATGAGAAAATACAAATGTCAGGTATCTTCTAAATAAGATGTCATGTAGACTGTGGTGTAATGTCAAGTGTGTCCAGTATTTCTGTTGAAACCATCTGACAATCCTATTCCTTTCCAGATTTATCTAATACTCAGAAAGGGAATTTAGCACCTGCCTTCCAGATTTGAACTGAAGCGCTCAGGTTTAATTTGGGCTGCTGTTACACCATTAATCCCATACTGATCTACTGTAATTTGTTGTAGAAAAAGTAAGATAAAACGGAGCAACAAATGTCGGCATCTTCCCAGACTAAGTAGGACTGGGGTTGATATTTTCAACTGCCATTACCAGTTTGAGTTTTTTTAAGTTGTCTTCTTTTAAAAAGAAAACTAATATCGCATTGGTGATTTCCTCACAGAAACAAAGAGTGGAACAAAAGAACAACAAAGGCACCTCAACTTTTCCTCATTATGTGGGACAGTCTCAATATGGATCCAGATATCCTCCAATCACACACATTGAAAACTATTACAATGTACTGACGTTCCGTAACCATGCAGGAACCAGTCCTGTGCTCTGTGCACTTCCAAAATTCCTACTGAGTTCCGAAGTGCTTTCCTTTTGTAACCTTACTACCTTACACTTGCAGTCACTGTAAGTTAAGCAGGTTTACATGTAGTCAAGTATCAGAGGAGTAGGCGTGTTAGTCTGAATCTGCAAAAGTGGCGAGGAGTCCTGTGGCACCTTATAGACTAACTGAAGTGTAGGTGCATAAGCTTTCGTGGGCAAAGACCCACTTCGTCAGATGCATGCATCTAAGCTGTATACTGCACAGTCCACACGGTTACCTAAGTTACCGCTTTTTAATAACCCTAGTGGAAAGCAGGGCTGTAAATAACTAACCAGTAGGGGCTGAAGCAGCTCCCCACCAAAAAGGAGGCTGCTCCATCCCTATGGGGCCCACCACAGGCAGAGGCTGCCTTCACATGCAAAAGGCTCCACTAAGCTTGGGCAGCCAGGCCCAGAGAGAGAGGACCACATCATACTCTGCACCATTGTGCCTTGCAACGTCTTCTGACATTATTAGCCCCCTTGTACAGAGAGGGAGGCTCAGAGACTTTACTAGGCTAAGGTCACACAAGGAATCTATAGCAGAGCTGAGACAGAAGCCAGATCTCCAATGTCCTACCCATGCTTGCTATAGCAATGTGAGACCAGCAGCATCAGCCAGGGAGATAAAGGGTCTCCCTTCACTCTATCTGACTCCTGAGCCCATTCATGGGCGTGGATTTTCTGGATGCCCGGCTTCAGACATCGTGAGCCTGATTTCCAGAGGCTCTAGGTACCTAACCACGTTACCGACTCTTGTGACTGCATTACAAGTTTTATTACTTCATGAAGCTTTCAGCCTTATTAAAAAAAAATGCTTCTAGCGTGTAGAATTGCAGAGGGAAGCCTGAAAACTGGCCCTGGGCAGGACCGAAAGAGACGAGATGTTTTTTACTTTCAGTCTCATGGTTTCTGGAGACCCACATTACCGTTCCCCTTTACAGCCCCTCCACTTTTCTGACACTGCACCATCCCAGCCATTGAACGTCAACATGAATAGGCACCGTCCTCTTCGTCTGCCCATTCTGCCAATGTGCCGTCCCCGCTTGGACAGGTGCCATTTGCAGCGCCAGACTGAGACAGAAAAGACAGAGGCTCCATGTTTCCCCTGGGGCTGCTAGCAGATGGACAGTAAGGACACACCCAACCCTCGTCCCATTAAGATCCATTTGAGTATGGCCAGGAGCTTCCAGTGTTGGCCCTCAGTGTCTCCAGACCCAGGGCAAGCTTACTGCTTAATACAGCCCTTCCCTCCTTCTTTGGCCTGTCTTCATTCCATCCCCTAAATGCAGCCCACCTCCCTCAATTCCCCTCCCCCTTTCACCAGCTCCCTCTCCATTCCCCTCTCCGCTACCCATTCTATCTCCCCCATCCCGTTCCCTTCTCTCCCATTCACCTCACCTCATCTCCTCAGTCTCCCCCACCTCCTCACTGGATCTGTCCTTCCCTTCTATCTGCCCCCTCTTCTGTCCCACTCCACGCTCCTCAGTCCCCCCCCCCCCCCCCCGATTTCACATGCTCCTCTCCCCCGCTGTGCCTCTCCTCCCGGATCTCCAGAGCACTGAACCTCACCCCCTACACACAGTGGCTACGTCTACACTGGCATGATTTTCCAGAAATGCTTTTAACGGAAAAGTTTTCCATTAAAAGCATTTTCGGAAAAGCACGTCTAGATTGGCAGGATGCTTTTCCGCAAAAGCACTTTTTGCGGAAAAGCGTCCGTGGCCAATCTAGACACATTTTTCCGCAAAAAAGCCCCGATCGCCATTTTCGCGATCGGGGCTTTTTTGCGGAAAACAAATCTCTGCTGTCTACACTGGCCCTTTAGTGCAAAAGTTTTTCGGGAAAAGACTTTTGCCCGAACGGGAGCAACATAGTATTTCCGGAAAAGCACTGATGATCTTACATGAGATCGTCAGTGCTTTTCCGGAAATTCAAGCGGCCAGTGTAGACAGCTGGCAAGTTTTTCCGGAAAAGCGGCTGATTTTCCAGAAAAACTTGCCAGTCTAGACATAGCCAGTAAGTTTATGGCAGGAAGCCGCTGGGATTTCCACTGCTTTCCCTCAGCTCTGATGACATCCCTCGGACATCACCCACAGCCCCCTGCTATTCCCATCATGGGCTCTAAGCGACCTACCCACCCTCTACTCGACTCATGCTGGCCTGCAGCCCCCTCCCACCTCTGTAGTCCAGGCCTGAGCCTCTCCTGACAGGAGATCTTCTGACACACTCGGTTCAGAGATGTGGGTAAAGAGGGACAATTTTACAATCCACTTGTGAACTGAGCCAGGCTTGAACCTGGTTCTCTGGGGGATGGGGAAGCTGGTGTGTGAACCCGCTCTTATGCCCCTGCCTATTGGAGCAGGCAGAACCAAGCCCAGATCTTAGTACGCCACAAAGGGCGGCTAGAAAAGGATGGCAGGGAGACAACCACTGTGCATGAGAAGATACGATGAAAAGTTTGGCCCTGCCCTGGCTGCTACTTACAGAATTTGTACCCAGGATCTGCAGGTTGGGTTTCTCGGACTCCAGCAGCTTCGCCACCATCTTCAGGAAGCTCTCCACAAAGAGGTTGATGCTCTGGCAGTGACAGGCCATCAGCAGCTGGTCCAAGGCTTCCATGGCAATGCACACGTACCTGAGGGAAACAACATATTGCAAGAGTAACTCACCCAGTAGGGACGGAGGCCTGGTGATTAGACCAGGGGGACTGGTCTTCAGGCACTTTTAGGTCGGCTGCCAGCTCTGCTGCCGACTCTCTGTGCAACCCTGAGCTGGTCACTGCAGCCCCATGCCTCAGTTTCCCCATCTGCAAAGCAAGATTAATACCCATCTGTTGCCCAGTCCTTGGAGGCCCAACGAGACGCTCCATTCAGTTCATTAATGTTTGTGTGTCGAGCTCTTTGGATGCTACAGTAGGACGGGGCCCAGTCCTCAGCCGTCAATGGAGCCCGGCTGATTTAAGCCAGCCAAGAAGCTGACCCAAGCAGCACTACAAGTATTAAGGGGAAATGGTATTAAACCACCGCTTTTGCTTCAGAGAGGGTTCATCTGCTCCTGGCACCCATTCCTCTGCAAGAGGCTGCTGGGGAAACAATTGCAATGGTGCAAACCCGGGGTTGAGATGACGTCTGGTGGGGAATAAGCCATGGGAAGAGCTTTTCTAAAAAGCAATCAGAGGGTTCTCTTCACATAAGAGCGGCCTTACGGGGTCAGACCAAAGTCCTGTCTTCTGACCATGGCCAACGCCAGATGCCCCAGAGGGAGCGAACAGAACAAGGTATGTTAATTTCTCTAGTAATAACAGCAGCCCCACAAGGCCCAGAGAACTCCAGGAGGCAGCAACAGAACCAGCACTGAACAACGTTTTCCAAAGCTACCCAAGTGCTTCTTGCTTAGAAGTTGCTGACACTAGTCCTCTGGGTTTGGCCTTCCTGCTTAGCTGCTTCTTACAGCTGAGGCCATGGGGACATGGCTCCTGAGCCCTGCGACAAGAGGCAGTGCAGTGTCACAGGAATGACTGAGAGCACATGACCCGGTGGTAGGAGTCAAGTTGGGGGAAGCCAGACATCCCACTACCACCCACAGTGATGGCTCAGCGCTCCGCTCCAGTGCAAAGTCTGCAAGCATCAGCGGCGGGACTCGGATCTCTTTGCTGGAGGTGAAAAACCATTTGCATCTTCCCGAGGAAGAGAAGCCAGAAACAACCACCTGGTACCCATCATGCTACTAACAACTCATCCCAGGTCTTCTCCAAATTCAACTCAACAATCTTTGGGGGAGAAATCAAGCCGACAAAGGTCTAACACGATCCAAAGGCTAGAGGGTGCAGCAGGATGAATTCAGACTGGAAATAAGAGATGCATTTTTTTTTAACAGGGAGGTTAATCATTCAACAGCATACTGAGGCGTGCAGAGATTCGCAAGCACATGGCAAGTCTTAAATCAAGGCTGGATTGTTTTAAAAAGATATGCTGGGGTTTAAAAGGAATTATTGTGGGGAAGAGCTCTGAGCTGGGTTATAGACCAGAGGTCAGCCTCCAGGATCACAATCGTGTCTCCTGGCTGTGAACCTAGTTGTGTGCAGACACTTAACTACATCAGATTCTAAACCATTTAGTTACCCTGTGTTTCAGTTTGAGGGTGCTTTCCAGCTATTCAGCTTATTCCAGTTAGAAAGCATACTCTGAGTCCGGCTGTAACGAGTCAAGCACGTTTTACTACCGTGCTGTATAAATCTTTTGTAAAGCTGCCCTTGCCCCCCACGTGCAGCCGGAAAACGCTCCAGGTAGCCCCGATTGCATGGCCAATCACCACTCCCCACTCTGATGGATCATGTGAGAGAATGACTCCCCCATCAGCCACCTTACACCAACAGCATCCCCGCAAAGGTCAGACCCCTGCCACTCACTGACGTCAAGGAGCGAGGCAGGTGCTTCTGAGCTCCAAGAGTTGAACCAGCAGAAAACACCTGAGGGAGAAGTAGCGCGGCATCTTGCCAGACTGTTTGCAGTGATTTCTCCCAGCGGGTCTTTAAGGTCATTTATTAAATCATTTTTCTAATGTGCCTGTATTTGAACGAGAAGAGATCGAAGAGGAGTCTGTGACCAGGAGGGCATGAATTGTTATTGGACGCAACCCGCCAGGCTGGCTGCCTGATTAGGTTTCAATTTCAGAATTTGTTCTGTGTCACATTTGGTTTCCAAGACAAATTGAATCTGGTCATTTTGATGCGGCGCTGGACGTGTCTGTGCATGCAGGCTGCAAGCGGCCCTGGTCTTTGGATGACAGCTCCGGTTGGCTAGTTATATAACAAAGAGAGGCCAAGCCGTCTTTGGACTCTCAGTCGCGGCCCAGAAATTTAATTTTTGGCCTGTCCTCAAATTAAAATGTACCAGCAATACAGTGTCAGGGGCTCAGCTAGAATAATCAGCCTAACTCCATTCAAGTCAATGGAGATGCAGCAATGCACAGGATCTAGCTGAATGCCCCCACTGGCTGTTTCATGGGCAGACCCAGATTTACAGAGAGATTTGGGATTGGCCACTCACCTCCTAAGGCTGTGGAGAGGGTGAGGTGGCTCAAGTCAGCCCCATGCATCACTGTAACCCTGGGCATCCCTGTTCCATCTCACAGGCCTGGGATCGGGGCTCTTGCTTTTTGCATCCGTGGCCCAGCCCTGCAAGATGCTACTTTGAACACGTCCTGCCGCCTTTCCCCTGTCCCGAGCCCACAATGACAACGCTTTGGAAATGATCTGAATGAGGGAAAGTTGTTTGCTTATTCCCACAATATAAGAACTAGGGGTCACCAAATGAAATGAATAAGCAGCAGGTTTCAAACAAACAAACAAAAGGAAGTTTTTCTTCACTCAGCGCAACTAGTCTGTGGAACTCCTTGCCACAGGATGTTGGGAAGACTAGAACATCCTTTTAAGGTACTTTTAAGTAGGAATAAGAGATCCTCCGGAAAAGGGCTTTATTCCGGAGGATCGCGCCAGTCTAGACGCTTTTTTCCGGCTTTTCCCCAAGCCGGAAAAAAAGCAGCGGACATGTTTATTTAAATCCGCGGGGGATATTTAAATCCCCCGCGGATTTCCCTATTCTGACTTACCTGCTTTGCATGACTTTTCCGGAATTAGGGGCCAGTGTAGACGTAGCCACAGTGTCATGCATAGGCCCAGTGTGCAGCCAAGACACAAGAATAAAACTAATGAATATTTCACATGCTTAAAGATCATAGATTTCGTCGCCTCGGTCACATGCAACAATGATCGAATCGCTCTGTCACAGGAAAAAAACTACGTGCATGGAAGGAAGAGAATCTACAAGGAAAGCTATTTAATACCAGCAGAAAAGAATCTGCAGATGGAGGCTCTATTTGCACGGGTCGCCTCCCCGCTTGAAAGTTAAGATGATGCAGAAGAAAAACTGCACCATCGGCACCAACCAGCAGAGTGAACAGGAAAATCAGCTGCTAAACACCTCAGCGCGCCAAATCCCTTTGTAAAGGGAAACCAGGAAACATATTGCACAGCCGTGAGTATGCAGGGGAGAAAGACAGCGAGCCCCACACAGCCAGAAGAAATGAGTTATTGTTCAATAGACGTTAACCCTCCACCTTCAGAAATATTAAAGATTTACACAATGGTGTAAATGCATCCACGGCTTCTGATCAACTGAGTGCCATAGCAGCCGAGATCTTAGCCCACTCCAGCGGGCCTGTCTGCAAGCAGAGACATTTAGCTGCAATGCAGGCAATATGTCCAAGATGACTTGGTGTCCCCAGAAGCTCCCTCCAAAAAGGTAGGTGGGGTGTAAATGAAAGATGTGCTCTACACAACATGCCAAGCTAGCTGCTGTGCTGCAGACTCTGACCCAGCTACCCATAGGGACATGTATCTGCAAAGGAAGAGGAGAGGAGAAAACTGCAGTAGAGACCCAGGTGCCCACAGGGACAGACACCCCTCTGCTGACCTGCACCCCAAAAAGAGTACCAGGCTTGGTGCTTGAAATTACCTCTCAATTCTGTAGCAAAGGGTGGATTCTGGTGTTAGTGCCCAGGCCATCGCGTCAGGGAGACCCTGGTAATAACATAAAGGGAAAGTGTGTGTTTGGCCAATTGGTACCACACCTGGTTCTGCTCACTTACCCCAGGATTACACCAATGGAGCATCACTGAAGACACTCCTGTTCACACTGGTATGGAATGCAGTGGGCAGTGGGACCGAGCCCTGTTCACGCCGGCGTGGAACGCAGTGGGACCGAGCCCTGTTCACACTGGTGTAGAATGCAGTGGGACCGAGCCCTGTTCACGCCGGCGTGGAATGCAGTGGGACCGAGCCCTGTTCACGCCGGCGTGGAATGCAGTGGGACCGAGTCCATGTGTGTAAATTTCAAAAAGAGCGTCCTGAACCATATACTGCAATATCTGAAAGTCAGTTTTGGGAACAACTGAACACGGGGCTTCCCAAAGGAACAAACGGGGCTCGTGAAGTCCTGGTACGTGATCAACACCTGCTGTCTGCTAGTAACCGCTGGGTTCAATTGCAGGTGAACTCAAAACACTAAGCAATCTCTAGAGAATTAAAGAAAATACAAGTGCAAGCAAATCGGATCACAGGTGTCAGAGGTCACCACCTCTGCCGACCTCCTCCAGCTGTTTATTCCGGACTGGCAATTCATTGCTTTTGAGTTTAGGTCACAGCAGGATGTTGGTCTGACCCTTTCAGCAGGGAATTAACTGAGGGACCGAGTCAATTCCATGCGGGGCAAGAGAGGGAGCAGACCAAAAAAAGCCTAGCATCAGCTATCGAACTCTTTTCTCGTCTTTATTCTGTGTAGCATGCAGAGCTCTGTTAGCCGCCACTTACAAGATATAACATCAGGCAGATCTTTGAGGTGCCTTGTCAGCCCTGATGATGGTTAAAGCATAACAGGCTTTGAAAGTTTTTCAACTTTTTCACTCCTTAGGAGCACCTCATCTTCACCAGAAGATGAAAGCCAAACTGAACTTCCCACTGCACTGACACGTGAAGACACGTTTGTCAGTCTTGTCTTTGTTCCTGAGACAAAGAGATCCAATCTCTCCTTTATTTCAAAGCGCGATTCCTTCTGCACTCTTCCAGCACTCGGCATCTCTAATCAGAGCGTCTGTCTAGTCTTAGCAACTGCTCTGCTCCTAAAGGGATGTCTTTTGTAAACAACGCAAGTCCCAGACACGGCACTACATAAAAGATAGATGGATAAAAACGGAGAAAGAGAATACAGAATCCAGCCCAGGCTTAGCCAAAAAAATTGCAACATAAAGGAAATAAATGAAATACAGCTTTCTCTTCCTCAAACAAGGTAATAAATGGTACCGGGGAGGGGATCTTACAATCATTGAACCACATAAACGTAGGACTGGAAGGAACTGCAATACTTTATCTAGTCCCCTGCACTGAAATGGGACGACGTAATATCTAGGCCATCCCTGACAGGTATGTATGGAACGGATTCTTAAAAACCTTCCAGAAGATTGCACACCCTGCCAAGGTAATTTATGCCAGTGCTTTAACTACCCTGACAATCAGGAAGCTTTTCCTAATGTCCAATCTAAATTTCCCTAGCAGCAATTTAAACCCATTGCTTTTTGTCCTGTCTTCAGCCGCTCAGGAGAACAATTTATCCTACATCTCTTTCTAAAAGGCTTTTCGGTACTTGAAAACTGTTATGTTCCCCTTCAGTCTTCTCTTCTCCCGTCTAAACAAACCCGTTTTTTTTTTAAATCTTCCCACGTGGGTCATGTTTTTTATTTTTATTTATATTTATTTATTTATTTTTGTTGCTCTTCTCTGGACCTTGTCCACATCTTTCCTAAAATGTGGCACCCTGAAATGACAGTGCCCCAGCTGAGGCATAATCGGTGCTGAGCAGAGTGGAAGAATTACGTCTCGCGTCCTGCTTACAACCCTCCTGCTAACTATTACAATGGTTATGTCAAAATAAAATTGGTCTGTCTCCTCCTCTTTCTCGTCTTGTGCCACCTAATTTCTGCTAGTGCAAAGCAAGCATAAAATATTACCTTGTGCTCCTGCCTTACACTGGTAGTAGCCGTAGACATGCACTTTGCAAAGTGGTAGATGGTTACCCAAGGGGCTAGGAAGTGGAGAAGCCGTTCTATGGCTTTATTAAGCAGTGATTTTGATGGGAATTTACCTGTGTTGCACACAAGTGAAGAGGCAGTGTGATTTGGTATGATTCATGAGGAATTCCACAGGGACCAAGGAGACCATCAGAAGGAATTCCATCTGCACAGAGGCACGTAGGCAAAGAAAGAGTCTCATGGACAAAGGAAGAGTCTCAATAGAGACAGTCTATGGGCCCCACGGACGATTAAAGGATTAGAAAATGCCTTATAGTGATGATAGATTCAAGGAGCTCAATCTATTTAGCTCCACAAAACGAACATTAAGTCTATAAGTACATAACTGGAGAACAGAAATTGTTTACCAGAGGGTCCTTTAAAAGGCATGACAAGATCTAATGGCTGGAAGTTGAGGCTTCAGACCAGAAATAAGGTGCACATTTTTAAGCATGAGGGCAGTTAACCATTGCAACAACAGGGGCATTCTCCATGGCATTTTTTCAGATCAGGAGTGTATGTTTTTCTAAATCTAATTCAAATAGGGTTATTTCAGGGCAGGTCTCCCAAACTTTTTCATCCACGGGGTCCTGAAACTTTGGCAGAGCTCTTAAAAGATCCTGATTTTTAATTCAATAGGTACCCAAATAAATAAGCAAAGTTTTGGAATTATATTTTTAGTTCTTGCATATGTTGATACTAATTTTCTGATTAAAACAAAAGAAAATGTAACCAAACAACAGGGTCATACAACTGTCATTAATATTTTCCTCCAGAGAGCACAGGGAAACTCTGGACTATGGGGATCACAGTGGACCCTTCTGGCCTTGGACTCCATGAGGGTCACAGGTCTCCAAGATTTAGGATAAACTAGAAATCAGGAGACTTTTTTTCAGATAAAAACTAAGATACTTGTAGCCTCTTCCCTGAGCAGAGTCCTGTGATGTAACCCTCCATCAAGTCACTCACCAACCTACAAAATCCCTGAGCCTGTCCAAACACAGTACTCTAGCAAGGGGGACAGGAATCGGCTGTGTTTTGCAGTCCTGCCTCTCAATGCTATGGGTGACTTTGGATAAGCAGTAGCTGCAGCGAGCCTCTTACAGCTTCTAGCTACTACAGGAAGAGGTGTGTGGGAATTCCATCTGCGTGGATGAATGGGGGCCTTTGAGCTTGGTGTGACTCCACATACACGTGATGTGTAAAAGGGAAATCAAATCCCCCGGAGCTATTGATTCCCCTATGAGGGGCACATACAATATACATACATTGCTAATGCTTAGATATATTTGCTATTTGTATAGGAGTAAGACATGACAAAGGTCAAGGCCTGTCACAGGTAATAACTTATAATAAGGAGACGAGGGGAAGTGAAACCAGTCTTCTGTTAAGTAGAGATATGGATAGATTCCACATCCTTTAAACTTGTGACCGGCTCAAGCAGGAAAGGAAAAAGGGAAGTATGGCTCGCCCATTGTTCAGCAAAAGTGAATGAATGTAACACAGCTGTAACCGCAAAGTCAGCAAGTAGGCACTGTATTTAACCTCATTTGGAAAATTAACCTGACCTATAGGAATGCTAAATGTCAAAAATGAAGTAACCTATCATGTTAAGGCACCTAAACCAGGAAGGATGTTAACCCTATAAAACCCCCTGCCTATGAGATGTTGGGGGTCGGCTCTGCTTTGAACATTGAGTTCCTTAGCCGTACCTTGGTTGCAACCAATAAACTTGAGTTGGACCCAGCCTGAAAGTGTGACTCTCTTCTTGGGGTAAATCAGCCTAGCCTCCAAGGGGACGAAACCTTGCAATTTATGCAACACACGTGTGCAGAGGAGAACAGCACTGTGGTGTGAGACCAGAAACTGAAAGATACTATTGTCTAGGTGTCACTTATGCGGGTGTATATCTGCCCAAGTCACAAAGAACACAACCATTTTGGTGTCCCCTAGGACATATGTATATTTTGGTGTTTAGTGCACCGATTCATCCCATTAGCTTCATTCAGTCTTCACCTGGACCTTTTCCCGGACATTTTGGGCACTCGCTCTCTAGGAACATGTAGCCCATATACCTAAGAGGGAGAGCTCTCTTTAAGAGACCCCCGTGGGAGAGGGGATAGGAGTGGGTTGTGTCTGAGTCATTGTTGCAAGGCGGATTGAGCACTCCACACCCAGAAGCTTCTGGAGTTGGGTGTGGTAGTTTGGGGTCTACTCCAATAGGGTCTGTCTCTCTTGGGGGGGTCAGATTCCATTGGTCAGCAAGCAGGGCAGCTGCTTTTCTAAGGGTCACATGCCCTATGGGGACTGGAAGAAGTTGAGCTCAGGAGCAGAAATCAAGCTGTTGTCCTGCACGCTGAAGCCCTTTGCAGCAGGTGGTGATGATGCTAACTCTCCCAGGGTGCGTCTACACTGCACCCAGAGCTCAAAATAAGCGACGCAAATTGCATAGCTTAGGGTTAATTTCAAAATCGCTTATTTCAAAATTTGGCGCTGTCTACACAGCACTTATTTCGAAACTAAGCGCTATTCCGAAACGTCCCTTGCTCCTCGTGGAACGAGGTTTACAGGGACATCGGAATAGTGAACTGGTTATATTTCAAAATAACGGGCACACTCAAAAGACGTGAAATAGCTATTTTGGAATACCTCCAGAATCTGCAGTGTAGACATAGCCTAACAGAAACATGGACTATGTTAATTATAACAAGGGGAAACTGGAAGGGAAAATGACTTCTGTTTTAGTTGTATGCTTTGAATGTTGTTTTGATTTTAGCCAAACTACTAGTTAATTTTCTTAACTAATGTGATTTATCAGCTTTTTTTTAATGTATTAATGGAGAAAGAGTCATTTCTATTTTGTAATTCTCAGTTTTGTATTTTCTTTAAATTCATATACTTGTGACTTAACCAGCTAGCTTGGCTGTCTAGCCGTGATCCACAGCAGAGGAAGAGGCTGCCTGGATTCCAACTTAGGTTTCCTACAAGCAAGTGGAAGGAAGACGTTTCAGACTCAGCAAATTGTGATCAAAGATACTAACTGAAACCTAGGTGAACTAAACCTCAGCTTTTGGGATCTCTCAGTTTCTTCTTATTGTGTTTAGTGTGGACTGAACAGTTCACATTTCACTTTTGGTTGTCTCTTTATTTATGTTTATTGTACCTGTGAAGATAATGTCTGTGGGTTATAAAATAGCTGCTTTATATTGTAAAAATTAGCCTATTCCTTGTTTCCTCATCATAAGATTTTATAAAGTTCTTTAATTAAATTCATTTCTGTAGTTCCTTTTGGGACTTGAATCCTGTGCAATCCTTGCTGAAAATCCTTAGAGACTGAACTCTGGGTTTCCGGGTACTTTTCTATGGGAGTTAGGATTTTCAAAGGCACCGGAGAGGGCAACGAAGTGACATCTAGCTCACCCAACATTACACACACAACAACAAATTGCTGGGAGTCAGCATTATGCTTCCCCTTACCCATATCGGTGCCTGCCCACATCTCTGATCAGTCTCTCCGAAAGGTACGCGCCGATGCGGTCCAGCTTCTCCGGTGCAGACAACGCATAGAAGGTCAGTTTCTCCATATTGGTTTTTACCAGCCCATCCTGGAAAAACAGACCGACACGGGGTTTGAGCTCCTTTCCATTTTGAAAGGCCATTCTCAGCGAGCAGCACAAGGAAAGGGCTATGAAGCTTTCAGCCTCCAGGTTGAAATCAGCAGCATCCGATGTCACACGAATTGCTATGATGGGTCAGGCCAATTGTCCAGTTAGTCAATTAGCCTCTGATGCTGATACTATCTCTGATGCTGGCCAGATTTCTTGATGATTCAGAGGAAGGTGCCAGAACCCCCCAGTCAGCAGTCAGTATCCATTAGCATTTAAATATCTGCTGTCCGGCAGCATATCGAAACGCGTGGAGGAGTCATTGCCATTCCCAGCATCTGCTTTGCAGCGGGCACAAGCCTCGGCCCAGAGTCAAAGGACTGACTTGACAAAGGCTGAACGACCCTGCACGGGGGGCTCTCAGGGACATGCCCGAAGCATCCTGCTGAGGAAGTGATGGCTGAGGAACCCAGGCTGGGAATAAACAGAGATCTCTGCCTCTGGAGCTGCCAACCCGCCAGCTTGCATCAGAGTGCAGTTCATTTCCCGCTATTTAAAGAAGCACAGCCCATGTGTTATATATCACCTCAGCTGCTTCCCCTTTTGCCCTCAAGCTTTATCTCCAGCTATGGCAAGCCACCCGTTTTTTTCCCGCGATGGCAGCAACTCAGTGCTGGGCTGTATGTCGGGCGCTTGGAAAGCCAGAGATAGGAGAATGGTGTCAAAATGCAACATCTCACCCTTTCATCGTCTTCCTAAGATGATCTTTAGGACCAAGTGAACTTAAGCCACAAAGGTCAAAGACGCCCGGTCTGATTCTGCCTTGCACACCTTGGGTAGTTTACACCTGCTGAGGTAGCATAAGCAACCTGGGATAATCACCTGTCTTGTCAGCGTAAGTGTTAATCTCCCAGCTCTCTTTGAAGATGTTGCTGCTGTCCTGTTAAGAGACCGCTCATCATGCATCCCAAGTTCAATTCCTACTCATGTCTGGAGGGATTTGCATACACGTGACCACTGTCATTTGCACAGGGATGTTGCTAGCTTGTATCTTGTTCTCCCAACCATCCCCGGCATTTATTATGCATCTATTTTATAGCCCCAACAGCAAAGCATCTCTTTAGGGAAAAGGAAATCTCGTCTGTTCCTCCAGACACAATTATACTGGAACGTAATAAGGGAGCCGTGCTAGTCAGTTCTTCCTTATACCAGGGCACAAACTTGTTAAGGTAAAAAAAATCTCTTTCCGGGATGATGACAACATCTTCAAAGAGAGCTGGGGGATTGACACTTTCACTGAGTGGGCAGGTAATTATCCCCGAGAGCTGCTTATGTGTCATGAAAAGCTTCAAAAAACAGTTTTCTTGAGAAATCATTCTGTTCCCATGTGAGATGTTTGCAACATTCCTCCCCGCCCCCCTTCTTCTGTATTGCCAAGGACTGCAGCATGAAAACAAGCGTCTTGCTTCTGGCAGTGCTGCTGCTGCTGCTGCGTCCTTGTTTATGTTCTCACCCATCCACCTGTGACATCAGCCATGGGAACGACGTAGACGTCAGAGAGACAAGGTGGGGGAGGAAATATCTTTTATTGCACCAACTTCTGTGGGAGAGAGACAAGCTTTCGAGCTCACACGGGGCTCTCCTCCAAGCCTGAGAAGCACACACCGAGTGTCACACACAAAGTGAAGCTGATGTCAAACAAAGACTTGTGACAAAATCTGGGAACTGGCAGGGACGTGTATTCCCAGCTCTGCTGTCTACTGTTTAGGACAGTCCTGGGAGCAAGGTTCCTTCCCTTTATGGCTCTGCCACTGAGCGAGTTCAAGACAAGTCATTAGCGTCCAGTGCTTCGAAATTCTGGGCTGAGTGGTGCGAGGGATGTGCAACCGATTGCAATTCACTCGAGTGAACTAACGTGATCGTAAACGCTAAGCTACACCCTCCACTGACTTTTGTGGCAGGACTCAGCTGGGGTTTGAAGCACATGCATGTGTGCCTCGAAACCAATATTTGAGTGTTTATAGAACACTGACAGACCTCGGTTATCGGTGGGCGAGATAGAACCTGGGATCTCTGGAGCTAAATGTATGAGCTGCGACTGCCTGAGCTGAAAGCCCTCTGACTCTTAGCTGAGGCTGTAGCAGACCCATTAATCTCTAAGTGGTCTCGGTGCCATTAGAGGGGATAGAACACTACACCCAGGAGGTGTGTTGGTTACATTTAGAGTAGCATTTACAGCTGTGGTCATCACCTCACGCTGACAGGGAATCTAGTTAAATTTAAATTAATGGAGATTGCCTATCTCCTAGAAACTGGAAAGGACCTTGAAAGGTCATTGAGTCCAGTCCCCTTCCTTCACAGCAGGACCAAGTACCCTCCCTGACAAATTTTTGCCCCAAATCCCTAAATGGCCTCTGCAAGGATTGAACTCACAACCCTAGGTTTATCAGACCAATGCTCAAACCACTGAGCTATCCCTCCCTTCTCCCTAGACCAGTTAAACCCCAGTCTAGATGAAACCAGAGCAGACACGACAGCTCAAGGAACTTAGGGTTTTGATACCAGCACAAAATGCTTCTCACAAAAATGAAGGGCACATTACAGAAAATGAAACCCTCCTTGTACGGCCCTAAAAAAGTCACCTCTTCTACAAGGGCATTTCCTGGCATGCAGGTGAATATCACTGAATGACCGGAGAAATGTGAAAACTCCGAACAACAGAATGGCTAGACTGGGTCAGAATAAAGGTCCATCTACCCAGTATCCTGGCCCTCGAGAATGACCAATGCGAGGTGCCCCAGAGAGAATGAACAGAACAGGTGAATGAATGGGGCTGATCCATCCCCTGTTGCCCATCATTTAAATGATATAAACTAACTTTTAAAGAATGCCAGGAAATTCTAATTCTACCTGAAGCCTGACTCTGTTCTGGTGACAATTCCATGCGAGCAGCCTGCCTGGCGAGAGCTGGGGTCTCCGGGCATGCTCAGTGAATTGGCCGAGAGATCATTCCTGCAGCGGGTAGCATGGCCGCTCCAGCCTAGATCCTTGGTTCCCACTCTGCAGGCTCCCCGCTTCCCATCTGCCCCCAGTCTGCCTCGCTCTGGTGTTTTAGTGGACTGTTTCCAGCCAGCAGGCTGCTAAGTCGTTGTGTTTCAAGCAAAAGAGGAAGCGCATTTACCTCTGGATCCTCTGGAAAGATATTGTCAACTAGTCTCTTGTAACGGGGCCGCAGAGCGCCGCAGCAGCCGCACACGCCTGGAAAAGAAAGGAAAAGCGACTCAGGAACGCAACAGGGCCTGGGTCTTCCTCAGCGGGCAGCCTTCATCAGGAGCCAGCGACGTGCTCGGGTCAGAGGAGACGATTCCAGGGAGAGGCATGTCTGACAGCAAACTCGTACCCTGCTCACAAAAATATAATAACCCCTCACAGCATCACTCAGCCCCGAGTCCCTGCAAAGGGATGAATCAAAGAGCAACGCCACCGCCAAAAAGTCACGACTGAGAAGACAAGGGAAATGCTGGAAGCCCCATGCCGAGCACGAGGGAGCTCTCCGTACTGGTTTTTAGGAATACTCTATGCCCGTCAGTTTACGTGCTATGTAAGATCCTGCCTGGCTGCATGGAGTTAAATCAAAGAAGGGAACTGGGAGGGGAATGGGTAGCGAAACAATGTAAAGCCAGAGAGAATGGCCAGGGTCCTTAATGGAATGATGTGAGAACCATTAATTGGGAAATGCCCACCTGCCTGGCTTCCATCAGGCGAATAGATTGCATTTTCCCCACACCTAGGATCAAAGGGGCACTAAACCACTCACGACCCTAGCTTAGTAAGGAGTTGCAGAGTAGGGAGCAGTGGGCAGCACCAGCTGGAGAGGAGTCTCTGACAGAGACTCGCTGAGAGAACACAGCTGGGGCAGCCTGTCTCTCCAAGGCCATGAGTCGGGTGTCTGGGCTGAGGGGAACACACCCAACACTTGCAAGGAAAGACTAAAGCTTAAAGACTACAGCTCCCAACTTAAACCTGTCCAACACATTATCAATAAATTACAGCCTATACTGGAACAGGACACTAAACTCCCATAGTCTCCTATAGACAACCACCGAACCTCAAGATGATTCTTACCAACAACCACAGGACATACCACACTAATACCAACCCTGGTACTTTCCCTTGCAACAAACCCCATTGCCAGCTTTGTCCACATATTCACTCTGCTGACACCATTATTGGGCCTAACCAAGTGAGTTATAAGATTAAGAACACATATTCCTGCGCATCCAGAAATATAATCTATGCTACCATGTGCCGACAGTGTCCGTCTGCTATGTACATTGGACAAACGTCTCAGACACTTCGCCGAAGAATCAATGCCCACAAAACAGACGTTAGACAGGATCACAAAGAAAAAACAGGTTCTTGCCATTTCAACCAGAAAGGCAATGACCTAATCACATGCATCCTACTTCAGAAGACATTCAAATCTGCACTTGAAAGGGAATCCTCTGAACTGGCATTCGTGCTAAAATTCGACACTCTCCGCAGGGGGCTGAACAAAGACCCCAACTACCTTACCCATTACCAAGATAGCTTGCCCAATTATCACCTCTAATACCATTAACTCACAGACATCTCCCCTTCCCCACCTCTAATATCATTAACTCACAGGCATTTACCTTCCTTTCCCTCCCACCCCGCATCCCCCCTCTGTTCTGAAATGTGATTTGTCCTTTTCATATGTGTTCATTTTTTTAATTGTATCCTTTGGTATATATGGTTGTGACTATTTTCTTCCACTATTTGATCTGAGGAAGCGGGTCTGGCCCACGAAAGCTCATCACCTATTAAACCATCTTGTTAGTCTCTAAAGTGCTACGTAGTCCTGTATTTTGTTAAAGCTTAGGTAAGACCCGGACAGACCGACCTCTTGTTGGTTGCACCTTTCCCCCTGCTTGTTATGCACCGCTGGGTGCATAAATAACGCTTTGAATCACTTTGATCGGCCTCTCTCTAAGGATAGCATCTTCCTGTCGGGCCAGTCACAGCTGGTCAATAGTAGGGCTGGGTGGGTCCACCTGGGGGAAGCCTGTCGCCAGAGGGGCCACTCCAAAGGGACTACACAGGGCCTAAAGCACAGAGCACTTTGTAACCGCGACGTCCCTCCCTTGACAGCGTTACAATGAGTGGGGACAACGTACCAGGGTCCATACTGTAGAGTGCAGCCCTGCACTGGCCCAGGGGATAGGCTAGCCAGGTCTTTGCTAGCCCTTGGTTCTGCACTACAAGATGAGGACACTTTGCAGAGAGACTCTGGAGAAGCCAAGACGTGGGTTATCCCCAGATGTACACAATGGGGATTCTGCCTGTGTGATAACTGTGACCTGAGCTCCTCTGACATTGGTAGGCACAGAAGGTTGCCCACCAGGAAATCTCCCCTTGGCCAGCAGAAATGCCTGTGATTGGACCAGTACCTGAATTTCATCAGCTGCATGTTCACTGCAGTCAGCTGAAGGGGTAAAGCTAAAAGCTATGGTTGCGTCAGCCAGGAGAGCAGGGCTGGGAATAAGCACCGAGGCATTTGCAGTGCTAGGTAGTGAAGCACCCACCCTGGCAGAGGACAAAGCTCAGGTGTAATGATAGCGGGATACAGGCTGTCCTCAGGGTGCTCCCTGGCTCACTTGTCCCCGAGTGACTCTCATACAATAGAAAACAGGACTATGGAGCACTTTAAAGACTAACAAGATGGTTTATTAGGTGATGAGCTTTCGTGGGCCAGACCCACTTCCTCAGATCAAATAGTGGAAGAAAATAGAAAAATTGTCATACAATAGGTCTTTCATCCTAGAATTCACTTCCCACTTGGCCCGAGAGAGACCACATTTGTTGATTTCCAGGGCGCCTCGCAAAAGCTACGTATTCTCGCTACGTATTCTCCAAGTTTTATCAGGGAGGGGGGGAGGCGAGGGGGAAGATTCAATGGGATTAGGGCTAGAAGAGATGGGAGAAGGCAGTCAATGGTAGAGTAGAAGGAGGGTTGTGTGTGCATGCGGGAATAGATCCAAATGAAATTGTGTATGTTACAAGAGAAAATTACGGATGATCCTCATCACCCAGGCCTCTTCTCATTTTCCCTTTTTGACCTCTCTCGTCCATCCTTGATTTAACGCCACATTTTTCTTCCCATTCCTCCCTGGTTCCTCTCCAAAGCTACTCTGCTCTCTCCTTCTCCCCGAGCACTTATCCTTCTCCCTCCCCTCTCAGATTAAACTTGGAGAATACGTAGCTCTTGCAAGGTGCCCAGGAAATCAACAAATGTGGTCTCTCTCGGACCAAGTCGGAAGTGAATTCTAGAATCAAAGACCTATTGTACGAGAGTCACTCAGGGGAAGTGAGCAAGGGAGCACCCAAATGTTTGGTCATCAGCATGGTTTGAGTCTAAACCCTTCCAAGCTAAAAGCATGAGTATCTGTCACTTGAGCTGAAGTAGTAACTCCATCCGCTGCTAGCTGTATTAGACTCTTATCCTCTCATGGGGACTAGTCATTACAGGGGGACAAAGAGCCACATTCTTCTAGTGCAAGTCATGCAGCCATGGGGCAACCACGGATTTACAAGTGTACATAAAATCAGAACCTAGGTGGATGTCCTCAGCAAGGAGAACACCTTGGTGGCAGGCAGCGAAAAGGCATCAGCCGAGGACTTGATTCAGCAATTCATTCCCCACAGAGGTTCTCCCAATGCCATAGAAGGAAATGCCCCCAACCAGAAACAGAGCAAGCAACTAATTACACAGGGTGAAGTAAAATCATTATTTACGCAAAATAATGGGCAAGAGATGAAGCACGGGAACACTGGGTCTGGCACTCAGATGCTGGCGTGTAATCTGACTGCCTCCTCCAAAAGGTGCCCACTGTCTTGTAGACATAGATCTACCCAGTGGTGGCCCATCAATACAGGCAAACTAGGCAGTCACCTAGGGCGCCAAGATAAACGGCCGTTGAGGGCTTTGGAGGCAGGGGCGCCAATCGCACGTTTCGCCTAGGATGCCAGTTGCCGGCAGCTCATCTAGGGCCACTCCTGGGTCTACCCAACCCATGTAAAAAAGTCATTGCTACCCAACCGTACTGGTCAAGAGATTGGTTGGTCCCTAACTATTGACAGCATGAATTACAGAATCAGCCACAGATGGAACAGAATATAACCCATTACATTTAGAACGGGGACCGAGCTATCAGTTCATCCAGTTCTTCCCCTCTCTGCCAATATCAGACTCTTCTCTATAATATATTCTTGATCCTCCAGAGATCTCAATGGCATACTGATGGAAATGTCTCTCATCAATGTGTATCATTACAATTTCACTAATGCATCAGCGCTAAAGGGACCTTGCACCACATCCATCATTCATGACAGCATGGGCTATTGCCTGAATTCAGGTCCAGTTAAACTCCACTGGGTCATCCCATAGGGTATTGTGGTCAAACAGGAACCATCTAAAGAGGCCACAAAATCTAATCAGGGTCCCATCTAAGACTACAAAACCAAACTCGCTTAAGACTTTTGACCTTCTGCTGTACCACAGGAAAGACACTAGACTTTAGTCACTCAGACTAGGTCTACACTACAGAGCATTTGAGGAAAAACGGCCATATTTCCGCAAAAACTCGTAGAGTGTCCACACCTCAAGCACGTTTTTGTGCAAGTAAATTGAAAGATCAGAGGGGTATTTGTGCAATTGGTAATCGTCATTCTACAAGGAAGTACCCCTTTTTGCGCAAGACCTCTTGCGCAAAAAGTCGTGTGTGTATGGGGAAGAGGGATTTTTTTGTGCAAGAAGAGGAAAAAGCACAGGTGCCCTGGTGGCCAGTCTGTCCATTTTTCGATATGCTTTTGCAGTGTGGACGCGCTCTTGTGCAAGAAGCTTTTGCGGAAGATGTCTTCTGACAAAAGCTTCTTGCGCAAAAAGCCTACAGTGTAGACGTAGCCTCATTCCCCTCTTTCCTGCTCCCTCCAAGAAAAGATCTTAGCATACAGAAAGACAAACAGCAATATTAATGCATCCCCACCTGAGCTCGATTTTGCAGTCTGCCGGTCAAAAAAATTCTCTCTCTGTCTAAACTTTGTACTCTAGATGATTGGCAGTCATTACTCCCATTCAGCTCTGTTCACTGAGAGATGAAGTTTCCATAGTTATTACACAGTGCCTGCTCTGCAAAGAAAACAAGCACCCAGTATCCACAATGCATGCAGCCTCTTCC